ATAGGGATTGAAGTATTCTTTCGCCCGGTTGATGATAATAGTTTCCTACCCGGTATTCATATTGAAGATGGAACTATTTCAATAGACAAAGACAAGCTGAAATACCCCGGAGACCTGTTGCATGAAGCCGGCCATATCGCGGTTGTTCCGTTTGCCGAACGTAAGACATTGAATGCGGAAACGCTTGGTAAAAGAGACAATCATCCTGCGGAGGAAATGATGGCAATGGCGTGGTCATATGCCGCTTGCGTACACCTGCATCTTAATGCGCGGATCGTTTTCCATAAAGACGGGTATCAAGGCGGTAGTGACAATCTGCTCCAAAGTCTTACGTCGTCGTCTACGCCTATCGGCTCGCCGATGCTGCAATACGTAGGCATGAGCATGAATACGGCCTTTGCAAAAGAAAACGGCATCCCGCCGTACCCTCATATGATCCGGTGGACGCGGGAATAAACCTGCGTCCATTCATAGGATTCCGGTATTGATCAGAGCGCAACGCCCAGGCCGAATACCAGGCTTCCGTTTTTCTTGTTCCAGCCGGTATTTGTCCAGTGGTAAAAATAGCCGGCATTGATCGTGAGATAGTAGAGATCTACGTACTTAACCCGGAGTATATCATTGATCATTATACCGCTTTCATGATAGGCTTTGTCGGGCACATCAAAGAGTACCAGTTGTTGTGCCTGCCGGTCGTGCATGGTTCCGTACATCACATTATGCGCCAGGCTTAGCGAAGGTACAGAGCCCAGTGACGTGTTAGCCGGGTTGTAGCTGTAAAGGTGCCAGTCAAAATCATGCTTCCAGTAGAGCGCCGCAAAGGCATCGCTGTACAGCGCATAAGGTGTGGCAGTGACGAGGGCACCAAAGCTGTACAGGTTATAATCATCATTGCGCCGGATACCGTTACCGGAAAAAAGCTTGCTGATCGGCAGGGTGCGGTCGCTCCAGCTTTTGCCGCCCATAACCAGCAGACGCTCATTGCCCAAACGGTTGATATGTTTCTGCCAGGACACCGCGCCCAGCAATTGCAGATAATTGGTATTGTAATTACCGCTTTCCAGCTGGCCTGCTGAGATGCGGCCATAGAGGATGGGGTACCTGGTACCGGTGCGGTAATAGCGGCTCAGAAAGGGGGCGCTACGTTCGGCATAGGCATACCTTACCGAGAGGTTGGCTTCCGTGGCATTAAAGGTATTGTTACCTGCGCCTGCCACATCCTGTAATTCATAGTGATACTGCGGTGTTATGGTCTCATATTTCCCTTCAAGCCCAAGCTGCCAGTAACCAAGTTGTTGTTTGATAGCTGCACTATAAGTGGTGATCTGGTCGGCGCGTTGCATGAGCCAGGCACGCAGGTAATTTTTATTAAGTTCCGGATGCAGCTCCAGGCGGCCCGGGTCCCGGAGATCATGATCATACCTTAAGCTCAGCACCGACTCTTTATAGGGATCGAGGTAAAACTCCGCAAAACCGCCGTACTTCCATTTGGTATCCCGCAGCCCATAACCGGCCCAGCCGCCGATACTGAGCCAGCGCAACCATTTCTCATTGGTCTGTGCACCCAATCCTAACCGGAAGTTTTCGAAGGAGTTATTCCGGACAAGCCGTTTGAGATCAAAGTCCAGGAATTTGTAAGGCACTTTCAATTGCATCAGTTTATCCACATAAGGCAGGATTTGCGCTACGCCGGTATT